CTCCGCCAGTGCAGGGACTGAACACCCGACCTCCAGGCTAGCGAGCCAGCGTCTTACCCACTTAGCCACCCCACAGGGAGGGAGAGTGTTTCAATGGTATTTAGACTTTAGTAACTGAACTCAAAGAGAGAGAGAGAGAGAGAGAGAGAGAGAGAGCGCGCAGTCAACTCAAACTATGCAAACTATGTATTTCTAGAACTAACATGTATATTTCACTTTTAATTTAATATTTCATTTGCGCTTAGCAGTCTATAGCGGTGGGAAGAAACCAAAGAATGTGTCACTTGCCTCTTACATCTCATGCCCTTATTGAAATGATCGATTTTAGTAAATGTGTTATATTATGGCTTACTCTTTTTTACCCCGATGGATAAAGAAAGGAACTCGATCACTTGGGTGCGTCCTTGAAAATATATTCTGTAATGCATGTGATGTACGCACCATATGTAATATTGAATATCTCGCGTATACCATTATTTGTCTTCGTATAAAGATTGATTTTATTACTCTCAACCTGCCATGTATATCGATGTTTGAAAAGTAAACATGAAAAGTCACTCCGTATATCTGTCCTGTGAGAATAGAGAGAGAGGTTTAATAGCGTAGACCTATCTCTCCACTATAATCTGTCTCCAATATAGTCGAATTTATGAATTATTGGGACTACATGTGTTTGCATATTTCTAAATGCAACAATGTTCCTCCACCACGTGTAATATATAAATGTTATAATAAATGGGTATATGATCGTTATTTTAGTGTTATAATAGATGTAATGTTTTTGAATATCAGTGTTTATAAATTTACAATGAGCATTTAGTGTTGTAATGCATTTAAAATGTCATTGTATATACGTTTCTAATGTGCGTTATTTTAGTGTTGTAATAAATGTAATGTTTTTAAATGTTTTTAATGTTTTTAAATATCAGTGTATATAATTTTACAATGAGCATTAAGTGTTGTAATGCATTAAAATAATAATGTATATACATGTGTAATGTGCGTTATTTTAGTAAATTAATAATGTGTAAAATATGAACATTTATGAGTGTGTAATGTGCATTATGTTAGTAAATTAATAATGTGTATATACCGCATGTAAAATATGAACATTTATGATTGTGTAATGTAAAATATGAACATTTATGGGGGGGGGGGGGTGTAATGTGGATTATGTTAGTAAATTAATAATGTGAATATACCGCATGTAAAATATGAACATTTATGAGTGTGTAATGTGAGTTATTTAGTATAAAAATAATAGTAATGTTTGTACATCAAGCACTAGATGTATATCTGTAGTAATTCCATGTGTTGTTAGATCGTGGCGGATCAACGGTAGATCGGTCGAGTCGGTTGTAAATCATGTGAACCTGTTACAAGTGACAGTATATTATCTGACTACAACATCTCGGTACAAGGAAATGTAAGGAAAGATATTTATCCCTATACAAATTACTTCTATACCGCTATCCCTTTTTCTAAATGTACTCACACCGTGGACGGACGTTTCAGACACTATAGTCAGAGAGGGAGAGGTGGAGAGAGAGAGAGAGAGAGAGAGAGGGAGAGGGCGCTAGGACATTTCGGGACTAACATATAATTCAATTTTATTTCAATAATTCGCTTGCGCATAAGGAGACTCTCTATAGTCAGAGATAGAGAGAGAGAGAGAGAGAGAGAGAGAGGGAGAGAGAGAGAGGGGGCATTTCGGGACTAACATATGATTCAATTTTATTTCAATAATTCGCTTGAGCGTAATGCGTCTTTTAGCAATTGTAGGAAACCGGAGGACACGGAGTACCCCATTTTCCTGAAGCAACGACTGCGAGTTTGACAACATGTTCCTGAAGCAACGACTGCGAATTTGACAACATCAGATGTACGTAGCTAAAGCGAGATCAAGCCTTCTATCGAAGCTGGGAGTACCGAGGTCACAACCAGATCGTCCTCGGATAGAATCTCAGCCTTTCTAGCCATTAATTTGCAGATTTGTCAGAGATTACGTTCCTGACAAGACGAGAAAGATCTGTCGGATTACACAAAAATATATCTCCAGTGTATACAGTTTGTCATAGCTACGAGATGTTGCTATAAACGTTGATCTATATCGAACGTGTTTGTTTTTAGCTTCGATTGGAGGCCTTTAATTTACTCTTGCAGACTTATTTTTCTCATTCAAGCGTCTGGCTTCTTGAAAATGAATTTTACAATACAATAATATTAAATTTAATTTACCTCGCTCAAAAGAACTATAAAACTTCGGCACTCTGGAAATTTGAGAATAATTGTTTGAAGGCGAGGTGTAATAGTTATCGCGCAATTACAGCCCGAGTGATTCACTTCAAGGGCTAAACGTGCCAGGGTCTTTTAATAGCCTCATATACAAAATCGATTGCCACGGCAGTGGCCTTATATGTGTTTGGCGTTAGACGAGAGATCAAAATCAAATTTGGTGGAGAGGAGCTTGAATTGTTTAGATGTACTATTGTTTGTATGAACATTTATTCTACCAATGTATTACTTATTATGTCTATGTTCCAACCTCGTGGGTTTACTCCGGGTTCTCCGGTTTCCTCCCACTGGTAAAGACCCCTACGCGCAACGAATTATTAAAATAAAATTGAACCATGTGTTAGTCCCGAAATGACCCAATTTGTGTCGAGTGGACGTTAAACCCCATTTCTCTCTCTATCTGCATGTCTATGTATTGTTGTACTGTATTGATGTAATTTTTGTTATTGTATGCTGCTCTCCGTCGGCGTTTTTATGCAATAAAATTTACTTACTTACTGACTTATGCATGTGTTTTCTGTGTAATGTATTTTTAAAAATATGTGATTCTGTCTAAATGTACGCGTATACATCTAATAAACATCTTATTATCGATGCAATAAGCTTAGCTAAACGTTTTAGTGTACGTAAAAGATCCAAGGCAGTTGAAACTGAAAAAAGAGTGGGCCGGGAGTCGCTGCTGTGGCAAAATAATCTGTAACCAAATTCAACCCATACAAAGTTAACACACCCCGTTAGCGTGGGCATCCGAACCATGTAACTTATATTTACTTGAAATTCAGAAGCCGAATCTGTTAACGTATATCTTGAGCCCGGTTGCGTCAATCTTGATCGGATGGATTCCCTTTTATCGAAGTTTTTTTTAGCTAGAAAATAATTCCATTAGAGGTGTTCGCAGTTTTACTCGGCTGTTAATACAGAAGCGATCCCGATGGTTGATTCCAATATAAAGAATTGACTAAAAGATAAAACGATATTATGGGTATATGTCAAGAAACTCTTAACAGCTTTCCTAAATATTTAATATCTTGACTCGCAGTTCGCAGAAGTTGTTAGGTGAAACGACTAGTAATAGAACGAAGACTTACGTTAATGTAACTAGAAATAGGATTGATTGTTCTTTTTACAAGTCCACACAGTGGTTAGACGTCTTTCAGTGTTTATTTCTCTAGTTAACATCACAGTCGTTACTCGCTGCTGAATAGAATCGAACGGAGTTTAACGTCTCATAATCATAGTGATAAGACTATTCTGAGATTAACACAATGCTGCAGTCCCGTGTGGAATCTTAGAGCGGATGGGGGAGAGAAATGGGTACAAACTAGATCATTTCTTTCGGGACTAACATATGATTAAATTTTATTGCAATAATTCGGTTGCGCGTAGGGGTCTTTAACAGTGGGAGGAAACCGGAGAAGCCGGAGAAAACCTACGAGGTTGGACAGGCGACTCTACTCCTTGTCACGTACAAACGGGGAATCGAAACCACGCCAGTTGACTTAATGACAGACCTTATGAAACAACACACACGCGTTCAACATACCCCGCCCCCCTCCCATGTTACATGGAAGAATTTTACCCGGTCACCAGAGTTTTCTCTTTTAAAACCTACTTTCCAGTGTATACACTACTACACGACTGGACCTCCGGGCGTTTTATTCCATGAACAATAAGAGCAAATGGCGCTTTTTGGATGTAATTCTAATCCTAAGCTTTGTTCATGTCACCAGAAAACAAAATAACCGTGTATGTTTTTCCCAAATTGAGTTGGTGCCTTAAACTTAAACCCAACTCTATTCCCAGAACAGTAGGACAGCAAACACATTTCATTCATTTATTCCACTCTCTATATTCCTGAATAGTATTTTTAAATCTAAGTTGATATAAGTATTTTTTGATGGACGTGAAAGATGAAAATTGTTGATTTACATACTAAAATTTGAGGATGTTTTTATATTTTTTCACTTAGCACAAATGAGATCGTTACTTTTATATATCAGGCAATTCCATGTTCAATAATCGCACTACACATATCATTCACTTGATCATAAATTATTTAATTAATAAATGAATGAAATATTGTTTAATGGCCCGTCAGCTCCAACCGGGCTATATTGCGCCCGATTTCTTTAAGTTGAGCCACTTGGCAAAACTCAAATTCTATTTTACAGATCCCGTATAACGCGATGCAAAAGACCCCCTAAAGTTGAACGCGATGTAAAAGACCCCCCCCCCCCACCCCAAGAAGTTTTCAATACCCCTTTCTTAAAAATCCGAAATCGAAAACCGAAGCATTGATAAGGATTTTTCTGATATTCGTGCCAGGACAGGAGTGTAAGCGCTTCCAATAGTTCACAGGAATTCTAGAGATATTCTCTAATTTTTTCACATGGTCATAAATTATTTCTTCAAGTTAAGCCACTTTGCAAAATTCGAATTTTATTTTTAGACCCCGCATAACGGGATGCAATAGACCTCCTTAAAGTTGAACGAGATGTTTAAGACCTCCTGAAGATGAACGCGACAAAGATCCCCCTCTTATTGTAAATCCGATGGATTGATAAAGATTTACCCGAACATACGTCGTACGACAAGACTAAGAGTACTTTCAATAGTTGTTCACATGGATCCTGGATATTCTGTCAGTTTCTTAATCCGCGACGATCTAGTCTACAAAACACTTCTAATGAATGACGTTTACTTACCCAAAGTCAATACCAAAAACACAATCATTTTGGAAATATTTCTGCTAAATAATCGCTTTTTATATGAATAATTGAGTTCATTCCATACTGAAAGAGCTCACTCACAAATTTCAATTTCACTTTTTAAAACTGCAAACCATCAATAATTGAATATGAAAAACACTAAATTCAAATAGCCTGAACACAGAGTATTTTTTTTATCCCAAAAATACAAAGTAAACGCGACTAAATACACAGAAAAACAAAATAACGAGAATCTTGAAAGTATGATTTGTCAACACCGTAAAAATATGTAAATATTGTCCAGGTCACTGGATAAAGGAAAATCACTTTTCGAGTTATAATCACCGATCAGTCAGCTCATAAAAACTGCCAACATGCCGATCGCACACCATGCGGAGTTTTACTTTTACTGTCCGTGGACTGTTTGGTAGTACTATAGTAGGTTTTATGGAGCTTCTCAATACTCCTCACTACTCACAATACACCTGTCAAACTATACAGGACCCTCCTACTCGCACAAACCAATCGAATCACCGTAAATTTTGACAGTTAGCATAAGCGAATGTAAAAGTCGTCTGCTATCACCACGCGACTCTCTCTTTTCATCTTCTTGTTGGATTCTGCAATCAACGCAAGATTAAAGAAATTGTAGCAGTTCCCAAGTTTTCGACATTGGATGCTAGCCACGCGCAGACGGCCTGTGTGGAACGTGAGATCTTCTAACGGTGTATTTCTCTCTGTTACAACAGAAACAGTGACGTTTCCCTCAACTAACAACTTTCCAATAAAACCCAACTTTCTCCTAATGTGATCGAAGTCTCTCGTCTATTGACGGCAACAAACCGAGTTATTCCATCGATTTCTTCAAAGCTCGTTAAAGAATAAACCCGATAGTTATGGGCTTAAAGAATCCGTCTCAGACGCAACTGTCATAACGTTTGCGGACAAGCGAACGAAGCGTGGCGATTTAGCGAACTTGCTTTGATGTCTCTTAAAATTCACTGACTTTTCGTGTTGTCCTTCTTGCGTCTGCGTGTTAGTTTGTTCCGTCCATTGATGTTGGTGCCTCTCTCTCTGATAGTTTCTACACCGTTTACGATGCTCCGAGCAAAGAAAATACACAGAAACATGGTTATACGATATCCTCTCAAATTACATTAGACAAGTGTAACAGCTTTGGGTGATTTATTTTCAAAGGGAAATAACCCAAAGTTGTTCTTTGTTCCCTCTAGATTGTTTATTGTGATACCGATATTTGATATCGTCCTGACATAAAACAACCATATATATAATAGTTTTTTTTAATACTCTAGATATCTAATTGTTAAAAACAATATTTTCTAGTTTTGGCGTTAAATTACGGGTGTTGCCGTATATGATACCGGCTTGAATAATTCGATACTTTATTAAAAACTCGTTACTTATATTATGTACGTTCGTTCTCGGTTCTTACATGTACCTGTTGGAAATAAAAATAAAAACACAAATAAGTATGATGAAAGCGAAATTCAAAATTGTAGATTTGTCTTTCGATTTTTAACTTATGATTGAGAAATAAAATCGGGCTACATTAAAGGTCCAACTAGTCATATCACATTTATTTATCTCAAAAGAGAGAGAGAGAGAGAGAGAGAGAGAGATGGGGTTTAACGTCCACTCGACACAAACTAGGTCATTTCGGGACTAACATATGGTTTAATTTTATTTACATAATTCGCTTGCGCGTAGGGGTCTTTAGCAGTGAGAGGAAACCGGAGGCCCCGGAGAAAACCCACGAGGTTGGACAGGCGACCCTACTCCTTGTTATCTCAAAAGAAATGAAATGAAATCAAATGGGGTTTAACGTCCTACTTGTCGGCACTGACTGAAATAATGGAGACGGGCATCCAGCGTGCAATGGGTGAAATTTTTTTCCCGGACAACGGCGCTACGACATACTCTTACCACAAAACTACAACTGTCAACGTGTACACTGTACCCCGGGTTTTCGTCCCATCCGAACTACTCGACACTGTCCATGCTCTTAGGTTAGACATCAATAGAGACCAAACCAATGTTAATTTTAAATGGATGAATTATTATTTCATTTTTCATTAATATATATTTGGTGCTTCATATTTCTTTAGTAAATTCTTTTGCTTATATTTAATGACATAAACTTATTATAGCCTTACCAGTTGTTCCTACTTTTAGTTCCACCCCCCGTATAGTATAGAGACATAGACAGCCCCTATATTAATGTCTGGGCCCTGCAGGAATGGATGTTTTCTTTTTGTTTTGTTTTTATTTCCAAAAATATGACAAAAATAGGGCTGCTTTCCAGAAAATATAAAATGATATTATTTATTTTGAGGAATTAAAATGAGTAATATTAACCAATGTCGTTAGTTTTGTTGTTTATCTCTGATCACTGTAAATATTAAGATTAGGATTCATTAAGTCAAATATTGCAAGAAACATACCGCGTGACACATTGAGTAACATCTCGCTTGGTAAAAAAAAACCCAACCCAAAAAGCCCAGTGACTAGGGTACTAGTGTCCATGGATCCGGTATGACGTAATGGCAAGCATCTTATCAAAAATTGAAGTATGTCATTCGATGCGAAATTGTCTAAGGAACAAGCATACCATGTTTCATGTCGATCGTCTGTGTGAATTGGCGAAGCCTCGTGCTTTCTTCGCAAAGCGTCGCCCCCCCCCCCCCTCCCAAAGAACAACAAGAAGATGAGTAGCACTCTAATCTGATTAAAACACAGATCCTATGTCGTTTCGTTTTTATAGTTCAAAATTTCGTTTTACTTGCCTTGCCATCGGAAGTATAAACGAAACGAAATATAGATCTGTATTTTAATCAGATTGGTAGCATTTGGAACCCAGTTCCTGTTCCAAAGTTATTTTGGCACTCTTAATATATTGACCTAAATACAACAACATAAAATTCCTCCTCTTTCCAGATTATTACACTATGGCTATTGGATACGTGGAATCCACCATTTTTCATTCTTTTTAAAATACTATAAGAAACATTTGCTAAAAAACAAAATTCAAGAAGTTCGAAAGACGGTTTCTGCAATATTTCCTATTGATACCCTCTATGTATCGTTAGGATTTCACCAAGAGTCGGCGCTGTCCAACGTCGCTGTCCGGGCAAAATTCCCCTCATTTCACACAGCATAACGGACTTCCGTCTACATTATCCTGGTTGGTGCAAAAACCCTAGAAAGTTAAATCTCATATCTGGCAAAACTTTCTGTCGGCCATTTTATTTCGTTTTTGCTCGGATAACGAACATGATAAGTATAATGTCGACATCATAGTTTTCTTTAACAATAACTCTAGATATTATATACCTCAATTTCTTCTTCTATTTCACACAAAAACATTTATGTTAAAAAGATAATCTGAAATTGATATCATTGTGAAAGGTTTTAATTCTTTTATAAAGAAATGGGAGACTATGAAATTCTGATACTCGAGGATACAAAAATCCGGCATCCAGATTACAAGATGGACACGGAATCAAGCACGTGGAAACATTAAGCGATAACAAGTTTTGACAAGAAATGAGAAAAAAGGGAGTAGAATTTCTGTCATGTGTAACTCTTGTATCACCCAGACTGTTAAATAACCCCGCCCTTAATTCCAATTAAATTGTAAGTTTTGCTTCAGTAAACTCAATCTGGTTAAAACACAGATCCTATTTCGTTTCGTTTTTATAGTTCAAAATTTCGTTTTACTTGTCTTTACTACACTTGGATCTGGAAGAGTTGTTATTTAACTCGTGTTCTGAATGGTGTCAGGGATAAGCCAATGAAACGGTCTGTTACGGCGAGCTTTAGGCGTGTTTTTTTACGGAACTGTGGGTAATCCACTAGTAACATCAATGCTGATTGGTTAATCAAATGTCTGACATCATAGGGTCTTCAGTCGGTCTTTTGACCCCTGACGTGACCTATCACTATAACTTGTCAGATCTTCATGTAGTGTAGGCCAATGAAAGTATAAAAAAACGAAACGAAATATAGATCTGTATTTTTATCAGATTGCAGTAAACTTATAATTGTAACTTTTATGGCGATTAGATGGGTATTGTTGATTATCAAGCAATTTGCGGGAGATCGGGTGGGTTGGTGGAGTTCGGAGCGGTTTAGAGACTGAGAAGGTCATTTCAATACAGAACATTTATCTATCGGGACTTGTGGATTAGAATTAGGGCTAGGTTTAAGTTTATGTTGTAAGCCGGGTAGTGTCTTAAGTTGGCGTGTGGCACTTTCCGATCTCACCAACCGGCCCTTTAAGTAAACTCCCCCGATTAAATGCACCCGGCGAGTGATGTCCTTATAATCGCTGAGCACCGTGTCGAATTAATTAAGCCAATCCCTCTCGGTTGATAAGACGTTTTCCGTACACCCATCTCTCGTCAGCTCGACATCTGATATCAGTTTCATTTATATACTTTCAGTGTTGATCATTCCAGCCAGCGTATACTCGCTGAGCCGCCGTGGCTCCCCACTGTGAAGGATTTCTCATCATCAGTGTTAAACAGTTTATAAAACAAATAAAATATAGGCCTAAATATCCTACCTGCCTGCATCAACTGGGACAATGAAGATGAACACCCACCTAGCTGGAAACTATGGGGACAATTGCGCCCGGACTACGGCGCTACAGTCTACTTTTAATTCGATGTCAGGGGATCTTTAGCGTACTGTGAATGGTACATACGGGCGATGGGATTACCTAACTAGACACTTTCCGACAGCCGTACTGCACCATTGACAAGGAGACGCCATGCTGGAACATTCCGAAGAACTTACGCGGCCAGGTTAGGACAGAAGAGTAAGACGCTAAACTCCATTTCTTATACTTACCTACCTACCTAATATTTGCATGAACCTTATAATAGATTATAAGGTCTTGATATTTGCTTCGTCATTACTTCAGTGTTCATGTAACACGATAGTGGTACAATTAAATATGACATCAAATATGCTGCACACTGCATACAGACTATAAAAAGTTTGAAAAATATGTGGTTATGTAATTTAAGACAAGGTTTCGGGCATCAAGTGCAAACACAGTAAATGAATGAAGTTTTGTATTTCGTCATGTACTGCGGCCATTGAAAGTGCAAACATGGGAAGGTATGGAATGAACTGTAATATACGGGATTTTAACTGTCAGGTCTAAATATGAAGGCCACCTGCTGATTTCGTAAAGGTCGCGGTATGTAAACAGGATTAGGGCACGTGATTGTTGACGAGATTGCTGGTTAGGGCTAGGGTTAGCGCTAGCCTCGTTTATAGCCCGTGACGGTGACGAAATCTGCCGGTGATCTGAATATTTACACCTGACTGGTTTAAACGTCTACTGTTCTACACCAACCGGGATCTCGAAGGCGGGTAAACGCCATCTCGTGTGTTACTGGGGACATTTTGCCCGTAGCCCTACAGCAGCGTTTACGCTTACTCTTCGCTGAATTCTAACTGCCTAGGGTTCTTTTACGTGCAAGCAAACGTGAACACGAGACACGACAAAACTCTGTCCATTGCCAAGCGGCCCGTCCTGCGTTACTGACAAGAGAATACAACTCCCGACGTACTTTCACCGGAAATGAATTCAGTTTAACGGTGCCTCAATTCAACACTGCGGCCATTTTAAAGCTAACATTTTTCTATGGTCATATAGGAAATGGTGAATTCTGCCCTTACAGCGACATTTTGACGTATTCTCCATTGTGATCCAACTGTCAGGGGTTCTTTTACGTGTACAGAAATGTGTAAACACGAGCGGACCGAGTTTTGTCGTCAGATCGGGACGACTACTGCTCCAGGGGCCTGTTTCACGAAATTTTAACTAAAATAAAATCCAAATTTTAGTAATTTGATTGGACAATATTAGATTGATTTTAGTGCTTAGCCAATCAAAATTTAAGTTTCTACTAAAAGTTACAATTTCGTGAAACAGGGCCCTGGTAAAACTACGGGACATTCTGCTCTAGAGTCCAGATGTCTTGTTCAAGTATATTTTAAAATAAAATATTTTAGTAGGCTAACACTTGAATAATACACATGTGGTATGATTTTAAGACCCCAACAAATGAAAGTATTTATAATCTTAAATTTTGTCGAAGAAGGTCCCGGGTT